GCAACTTTTGATTATAAATGGTTGGTTGGTTGGTGGTAGTGCTTGTACTAGTACCAATGTATGAAAAATTGCTATATTCTCAGTCAGATTCAGATAAGTACATTTGTAGTGCTGTACAACGGTAAAGAGTCATAGAAAAATAACACACATATTTAAAAGATGGTTGAACAGTTGTTTACCTGTGTTCTTGCGTAAAAGAAACGTGTGTTATTATTAAGCAGCAATTACGTTTATCTAGAAATTCGTTTGAATAAGCAAAAATATTAAGTTCGAAAGGTCCTGCATAATATAGAGTCTTACAGATCGCTAACCTTTCTCTAGAAAACCTCTGGAGACATTCTAGAAGCCCTTACGAGATCTGCGAAGTTTCTTTATTGGATTTTTCGTCTTTTTAAACCTGTTTAGGGCTGCGTGGGCAAACCTTAAGTAAAAATTAAGAAATTTCGGAGAAAATGATTTGCCTTTTGTTGTAACGGTTCTGATAAAAACGATTTTTGTCGGTAAGGAAAACGAATTTAGGAAAAAAGCTCATAATATCTTTGAAGCCGAGCTACTGGCGGATCTAGTGACATGTAAGTCAGGGCTTCGTCTCTTGACACAAAAAAATAGATAGCATATGAAATTCCTTGTTCCCTCTGTAGAGATCCATTTAGTGACATCTATGTTGGATGACCCTTGCAAATACCATTTTGCTATTCAATTTTGGGTGCTGAATCAGAAAAAAATAGTTTGAAAAGTCCACGTGGACAAATAACTTTTTCAAATTTGAATTTGATTTTCTAGACCCTTCGAGCTTTTTCGATTTTTCGGCATGAAAAAATTGTTTTGAAAAATAAAAAACTACATTTTCTTCCAGGATTTGGAAAGCTTTATCGAAGGTTGTAGGATAAATCCGTTCTTACTTTAAGCGTGAGTTACGCGCGCCTGACAGGAGACTACTACTCTAAATTTACTAAATCTATCAAGATATACTGAGTTTTATCTGCTCAAGGAGATTCTGTGGGTGGGAATAGTATAAAATATTCTCTTACTTCAGAACATTTCTAGAAAACCTTTTGAAAAATCTAAGTATTTTATGTTAGTTTTTAAAAGTCCTATTGGACTCTACGATTTGTTGGAGATAAAATAGAGTATATCTTGATATACTGACATAGTTTGGATCAATTCTGACTCAGTTATGAATTTTCTGATTTTACATGAAAATAGGCAGAAATGGGTTATTTCACCGTGTATAAGATTTCCCAAGGTTTTTGAACTTTTTTCGAAAAAAGACACCGCCACGAGAATCCGCATAGTTGGAAACCTACGTTTGCATATATTACTGAGGCTCCAAACCATAAAAATGGTCGATCCCAAGGCTTCTCAGATGATCCCAGTTAAATGCCTATAGCTATCAAACGAAAAAGATAGAGGTCTCCAGACTAGTTGAGGTTTGTAGACCAGTTTAGAATAAAAATTTTATTTAGGGTCCTGGCCGCGGCACGATGGAATTAACAATAAAGTAAATAACTATAGGTTCAAAAAGGGTAGAGAACGTAAGAGATATGCACAGAAAATTAGCTATCGAATCGTTGTTTTTGAGTATTCAATATGTTCTATAACAGCAGAATATATTGCAGGCTATTTATTGTATTCAAACTTATCTTTTAATAGCAGATTTTTAACATCATTCCTAATTTTACGTGGTACATAGAGTCATTGATTGTTTTCATGATCATAACGCGATGTGGAGCAAATATATGACAATGAAGAAGAAAATGTGCAACTGTTTCAGACGCTCCACATTGACAGAGCTTACTTCCAACTAGGCGTTTTCGAAAGAGATGGAAGTTGGAGTTCCAGAATTGATGCAGAACGTGTCGGGGAATTTCAAAAACGAGTGGAAACATAGGTTATCGATCGTGCTGAGTTTCATGGTAAGATATTTTTTGAAAAAAGTGAGAAACTTACGAGGGAAGATTCCCAACTGTCGGATCGATTTTGACCCTATCTTTTGACTACATGAAGACTTCGATGAGACTAGAAAAACTGAAACTTTTTATGCCCGTCGTCTCTCCTAGGCGAGATATCGAACTTTTACTCTCAGTCTTTTAATAAAAACAGTAAAGAAGATAAACAAATAATACAACAGAAAAAAGTTTAATAGAAAACTAAAGAAAGAGAAAAGTTGCACAAGAGCGTCACATTAGCACAGATGTCAATTGGTTTAAAGACTTGGATACCAACGTTGGGAAGATGGACAAAATAAATCAACAAATCACCTACCAGCACTACAGAAAAGAAAAACATAACATAAACGAACACTCCGGCGGAACCTGAACAACATAAGAGAACAGAATAAAATAAGTTTTTCTTAAGGTAATAATATTATTAAAAAAAACGTTATTACCTTAAGGAACTTAAAAAATGGTTCCTGAACGAAACATAGATTCAGCTTTGACGGAATACTTTAACGACGGTGCTATAAAATGCTCAGTGGTAAAAGCAAGGGGGTAAAAGCACCACCTCACCACTTAATTTCACTTCACTTCACCTAGGTAAAACGCTGCTGAAACGGTCGAAGCAATAAAAAATCACTTCAATTTCACTTCAAGTTAGGCGGAAGTGGTGAAATGGTACTTTCCCTCCCTTGCTTCCCTCCCCTATCAGGGGCGTCGTTCCAGCAGTGAAGTGAAGTGATGTGGAATGAAGTGGTGAAGTGGTGCTTTTACCCCCTTGGGTAAAAGCGGTCCTTTTAGTAGTAACACATCACTACTGACGTTTTATCGCTGTCATACTACTTTGTATTTTAAATCTCCTTACTGGTAGTTCCAAAATTCAGATAGGGTAGATCACTACACATTTCTTCTGAATATAGATTTAAGAAATTAAAAAATCTAGTTTGATTATTCTTAGGAATTTGAAAATAAATTACACCTTACCTGTTGACAAATCTTTTGAATGTTCGGTTTCGTTTATACAATTTCAGAACCCAATCGTACCTCATCAAAACCATCGGTGTAATAAAAACAAAAAAAATATTGATATCAAACTTCGATCCTGCTGCCTTGACTATTGCTGATGTTATAACAACAAATATCGATATAAAAACAGGATGATATGCCGTTCTATACAAAGAAGATAATAAAATATTCGGAAGAATTGCAAAAAAGGTAGTTAACGTTGTAGTTTGGTTCCATAGTGATAAATGTGGACTCCAACAATTGTAAGAGATGTCTGAATAATAGAAAGGCTCGAAATAAGAAAACAGTAAAAAACTTGTGATAACAATAAAAATGATTGCATAAAAGGAAACAAATATCTTTTGCCTTGTTGTGCTAAACATTTCTGATCATCTAGTTAAGGAAACATCCTAAAAATTTATATATAGATTATCCTAAGTTTTGAAATACCGTTGGAAGAACGTTTAATCAGTGAGACAAAGGCATCTCAGGCCATGTGTGCTACTACATCGGATATACACATACTGTTGCCTATGTATAGCAATTAACCTATATTGGTTTTGTTCCTAATATGAATTCTTGGTCTACTCCTAGAACAAGATTTCAAGATTTAGTGTCGAAAGTTCACGTTCTGCAGATTTTTTATGTGCATTCATGATCTCGTATCAAGTAAGGAGACAGACTACATTTGGCTCCTTTCAGAAAAGAATGGTGCGCATAAAGATCCGACTGGAATGCTAAGCTATTTAGGATTATTCGAATTTCTTTCTGAGAGAGAGAAGATTCCATTGCGCTGATCTTCAACTGTAAGCCATACTCCAAATAAACAATGCAAAATTTCACTTTTTTTGCACGAAACAGAAGATATTTGCAAAAAATTATATATACAGTTGTGATCATAGTTCTGCGTACGATGTAAACTTTTTGAAAAATTTTAGAGATTTGTTTCGTTTGTAACTTCTCTACTAATATTTTAGGCTTATTTTTTCTACAGATAAGCCAGAAATAAGTTTCAACAGTCACGTGAAAGGCGCGTTGTTTCTTTGAGAAGTTACGCACAAAAGAAATTTGTAAAATTTTTGAAAACTTTACATTATTATACTCCAGATTATCACCGCAGCTGTATATATGACACTTTGAACATTTTCTTGATAATACAAAAAGCCTTTTAGTGCTCGATTTTCAGTCTTACCTTTTCAACACGTTTACTACCAAGTGAATCTCTGTTAAATATGTGTATCTCACATTCAATGAAAATCAACATTCGTAGTATCCATATGGCTAAAATGGCCTCGTGAGACAGGTAAAAGTAAAACTTTAAAGTATAAAAATCAGATTGCCTATATAAAAAAAGAATTGTCAACAAAGTTTTGGTTAACCTCTGATGCAGTTTATGCGAAAAGTAATTACATGTTACGCCATTATGGTGGCGCCATCTGTAATTATTCCAAAATTAACCAAAACTTTGTGATAACCCTTTTTTTATATGGGCAATCTGATTTTTATACTTTAAAGCAAAATATTTTATATTCTGAAGCTAAATACTGTTTCCCTCTTGGGTCTCTAGCGTCTGATTACTCGGTAGACTGATTGTCCTGATCAGCAGCTGGTGGCTGGTGCTCTGTTGGCATAATCACTTCAACAATATGTATTGATCGTCGATGTAATGTTGGTATTGATGGTTGTTCATTAAGACTAAGCCTTGAAAATGTTTGATTAATTCCATCTGTCATTCCTGAAATGATATAAAAAAACTTGGAATAAAAGATTCTACGCGGATGAGCTTCCATAATCTTAAAAGTATTGGCGAGTCTACTCATAAATCTTTTTATATGTGCACTATACAGAGAAGTCAAATAAAAAGATGGACCTCTATGAGTAAAAACACTAGTATTTAAAACTTAAGTGTCGTAGCTATTGCTGCTGATGACGCCGCTTTTCTCTCTAAACAAAAGTGATTTTTAGTTCTGATATTTATCCAAATTTAGTGTTCCATTTCACGTACACTCCTGTATTAAAAGGTTTTGGATGCTTTATACATCACTTACGCAAAAGAACATTTCAAGAATCATCATTCGATCAAATCAATTGAGTTATTGGTATTCGTACCTGCTGTAACCTAGTACAATTTGAATTTCGTGGTAACCAACATGGAGTCGTTTACCATTTGAGTTTTGTGCGGACAATTTGAATTTCGAACATTAATTAAGAAAACTCTATAAAGATATCATCAAATCGATATTCTACCGAACTTCGTCGGTTACCAAAATCTGGGTACCTGGCATCCTTAACCATATTGTAATCAATAAAATA